ATCTTACTTAGTTATTGACCACAGGACTCATTCGTGATTCTTCCTTGAATATAACCAATTGTTTAGAATCGGGGCATCACAGTTTTGGCTGAGATTTCGATGGTAAAGATTATATGGTGACGATGTTGGGGATGTCGGCTAGAAGGTCGTCTGCTACAGCATTTTTACGACCCATCTCGTAGGTATCTACGGCAGCGGTGACCTTAGTGCCGAAATGGATCGTTGGAAGTGTAGTTGGGTGGTTGGCTGGATCGTATGAGGACGCCTCGGCACTTCGGTGTCTTCGGCTTCGAGTACTGCCTACTGGTGCAAGTATTGGAGTTCGACGTTGGTGTTGGCGTTGAGAGGGTGGGATCAATTGTGGAGCAGAAGTTAATGGTTGCTCCACAGGACCAGATGTTGATCCTTGGTCAGGCCTTGACGATTCAGCTTGAGGAGTTTTTGTTGAAGGAGGAGACTTGCTTTTTCAGGCCTTGCTTTTCCTTGGGGCGCCTCGGCACTTCGGTGTCTTCGGCTTCGAGTTCTGTCTACTGGTGCAAGCAGTGGAGTTCGACGTCGGTGTTGGCGTTGAGATGGTGGGATTAGTTATGGAGCAGAGGTTAATGGTTGTTCCACAGGACCAGATGTTGATCTTCGGTCAGGCCTTGACGATTCAACTTGAGGAGTTTTTGTTGACGGAGGAGACTTGCTTTTTCTTGGGACGTCGGGAAGTACAAATTTGTACGTCGGGATGTAGTTGAGCAGCAAAGGGGCTTTTCGCTGGTCAACTGGCAGACCCAACAGCCTCTTAAAATCCTTACTAGGATAGAAATTTTTACGGAAGTCCTTTGGAGGCTAAGGAAGAATTGCAAAATAAAACATGCAGACGTTAGAACATACAAAAATATCAAAGTAAAAAAGACTTGAGAAGCAAGTAAAAGTAACACTTGGCTCTTACCATCTCCCTCTCTGAACAATGTACGACTTAAAGGGTAGAGATGAAGGTCATCATCTGGAAGGAACTCCCAGTTGCCCGAGACTATGAAGTAATCGTCCTCGGCGCCCTTGTTGGAATCAGGGAGGTCGGTGATGAGTTTGTATTCTGTCAACCTCAGCTTAAGGTAGTAAATGTAGCCTTTTTCTGACTTAAGACCACACATGGTGTAGCAGTACTAGATGTCGGCTAGAGTTACCCTAGCATTTTCTCGGCTAGCTAAGGCGATAATACCATTGATGACTCTGTAAGAGTTAATGGCTAATTGCATTGGGTTGAGTTTATAATAGTGAAAGACTTCTCGGAAGAGGATGTCGAGAGGGAGCCTAAGTCCACACTCTACGACGGCTACGACTGGAAAGGGCATGGAGTCGTCTTTGGGCATAATGGAGTCCTCTTTCCCAGCCAACCTGAGGTGAACATCGGTAGGGATGGCAAACTCCTGCCTGAAATATTCTAGCTTAATTGGGGTGTCTACCTTCCACCTCCACATACCCATGACGTCGGCTTAGAGGAAAAGTATTGGATTTCCGAAGGGAGTGGTTTATTAAGGTTTGAGACCTCGGTAAAATCTATACGTATGCTGGGGCAAGAGTTTTGAAGGATCTAAGGGGAATTTGTTTTAAATTTTCCTAAAATTTGTGAGTTCTACAACAAATCCCAAAACCTAAGACTATGGAAACAAGAATTGAGGGCAAGAATCTGGAAAAAAAACAACAAGAAAACAGAAAAGAATAGAGATTCAGACTCAAGAAAACTAGGTGGGGTTCAAGAACATTGCATAAAATATAAATGTGCACAAAAACAAGAACAGTGGCAAGCTATCAAGAACGTCAAGTGTATTGACAACATATGTGTATGTGTGTGTATACAAGCAACAGATTGAACAAAATCAGAATCATGAAACAAATGAAGAATATGGGAATTCAACACACAAATGACTATTTAAGAGCATGAACAAATTTGCAATGGCCGTGTACAAGCATAGCAAAGTTTAAAGTAAAACAAAAAATTGAAACGAAGGGAAGCAGTGGTTTACTAGGAAGAGTGATGCCGGCGAAATGAATGCCGAAGTTGAACGCTGGTGGTACGAGTAGCAGAACGTTGAAAGCCTCGCCGGAGGGGAAGAATGAAGTAGTTGCAAAAAGCTTTGAGAATGAAAATGGAGGATTTGGGAGATAGAGAGAGAGAGTTTGGAGAACACGAAGATGTAAAAGTGAAACAGCGAAGAGAGAGGGAGGTGTTTTTGTCAAAACACGAAAAGGCGGAAAATCGCAATTAGTATGCCTAGGACGATGTGCTTGTCAGGCGGCGCATGCAAGTGTGATACAACTTGATGGCGCGTGTCAGGTACGAATCAATGGGGGAGAGACGCGTGGCAAGAATGGTTGAGAAACGGTGCATGACAGCTCATACGCCTGTAGAAACCCTTGGAGTTCTTGATTTAATGAAGCATGGACTTCGGCTAGGGGGACGATCTCGGCTAGAGAACTTGAAAAAATTGGTCCTTGGTTCTAAGGCATTGATGCAAACACATTGAAGTTTTTGTCATATGGAGGCCGACTAATGATGACCATGGTAACAAAATGATAAAGCCAGCTTAGCCGACATGCTATATAGTTTGATGATATAGGTTCCAACACCTCAGGATACCAAGATAATAGAACCTAAGGGGCAATTGTGGGGGCATATTTTTTGGATAGCAACACGTGGCCAAGGTGGCATTAAAGTGCCAGCCGAGGTGCCACATGTCCTTGACTTGACGCCGAAGTAATCTCGGCTAGGCCGAGGTTATCTGCGGAGATACCGAAACCCAAGATGAGCGGATAAGGGACAAGAGTCCTAGAATGGAGGAGGAGCTCAGTCTGGATAAAGATAAAGCTCTTAGGGAGTTTATCTCTATCCATTTGAGAGTCCAGGATAAGGATTGAGCCAGAAACCATTCAAGCTAGGCTTCTACAGGGATTAGGTCAGTGTTGGCTATAAAAGTAAGGCACCCTCGTGGGTCTAAGGTACACTTTTTGTATTCCGAATAGTGAGTTAATCACTTTTGCTATCTTTGAGAGATAACTGACTTGATCGTCGAAGTGCTCCCGGGTGGACGAACCACCGCCAGAGTCTTTTCTTTCTGTGACAGGTCGTTCGGGCGTAATCTATTCTACCAGTGTTCTCCAGCTAAGTTCTTGTTTGGCAGTGTGGTCAGAAAACAACACACACAAAAACCAATACATGAAAATTTTGTAATCAATCCAAAACAAACTACTAAACCACTGTTTGGTTTGATTTGAAATCACGGATTTTAAAAATATTATTATTATTCACGAAATAGTATTTATAATTTAAGAATTGTTTACATGATTGTTTAAAACTAATTCTATCAATATACAAAACTATACTTATAAAAGTAGAGAGTTAATTTATATATAATTGATAATAATAATAATAATATATTTTGGTATATACATTCAGTAATAAATTATATATAATTTAAACGGTCCAAACGGTTCTAATTGGATTCGTAGCTATAAAATCACGAACCGAACCGGTATTGCCTATTTCAAAAACCAAAATCGAACCGTACATTAAGAAAATCAAATCAGTTTATGATTTTTTCAATTTTTATACTTAGCCCTAGAGAGTGTTTGACCCACAATGATATAGCAAGGTAGATGTCAATTAATTGGGAGATTTAAAGAAAGAGTAACGCTAGAAACTCACAATTTAAAATTACAAATCCTTCTATAATGATGCACCATAGGAGTTGGGCTATGTTGTTGTTTGGCAATAGATTTTTTTAGTTATTTTTTGTACTTTTTGGTTGTTTACCTTGGGATTAAAAATTTGTTTGGTTTGATTTTTTTTTTGACTTTTTGATTTCTGTGAGAAAAAAATAAAACAATTATGATTTGGATGTGACATTTTATCTTATTAATTTTTAATTTATTTTATCTTTTTGTAACTAATTTAGTTAAAAAATACATTGCCAAACGAAGCCTATACAAAATTGAGCGTGATAAATAAAAATTGATACATACAATAGCACATTATTGTAAATCAAATTGAGATAACTTTTTTAAGAGGTGCAACGTTTACCTTAAAGAAATCAACCAAAAAAAAGAGTATACATCAGGAATGACAAGTACAATAATTTCCTTTTGGAATACATTTAAAATTTATTATATCACTACTATACTTTTAATATTTATTAAGAGAATATTTAGAATGCACTACAAAAATTATTTCTTTTTTACTTTTATTTATTTATTTATATTTTTTAGATCACATTATCTCCTTATTTTTTATATTTATTTTATAAAAATTAAAAAAAATATATTTATTTATATCATTTTAAATACTCAGGTCTCGTGTGGAAACCCTTCATTTTAGTCAAAAGTCAAAAAGTTCTTAAATTAGTCAAAAAATCAACAATTCATACGAAAAAGTCAAAGATTTTCTTTCCTCTCTATTTTTTACACATCTTTTCGTAAAAAGTCAAAAAATAATTCTATACATACTAATTTTTTTTTAACTCATATTTTAACTAAATAATAAAAAAATTATTAAATTAATCTGTTCCTAAACAGACCTCAATCGTTATAAGGTGGCACTTGGCAAAAGCCACATTAGTAGCGATTTTTTTTTTTTTTATATATTTATTAAGAAGGCAGATATATGAGTCGGCCACCCCTCAGTCCCTTCACATGCAGCTCCAGCCAAAAGATGGAGCAAAAAGAGATGACTTAATGACTTATCCAAATCCCTCTCCCACCCACAAAAAACCCGCGTTCCAAACGCGGTCTATGACATAATAAGACTCATCCGAAATTACTCAAAAAATCACAAGCACACTCCAACATAATCCCCAAAATCAGCGTCTTCTCTCTCCTCCCACGTTCCTAACCCCGTGTCCTTATCCGTCTCTTCATCCCCTCTACCTCTTCTCACCTATAGATACCCCAATCACCAATTCCTACCCCTCTCTCTCCTCACCACAACTTTCTCTCTCCTCTTTCTCACACTCTCTCTCATGGAAAACGAGCAGAGCATTTCACCTTCCTTCAAAGATAAACTCAAGCAATCTCTATGCCTCTCCTGCTGTTACCGCAACAACCGCCGTGAATCCCTATGCTCCGAAGACCGGCCGAGATTGTTGCGGGCGTCGTCGACGTGGTTCAGGTCGCGAGCTCACGAGCTGCCGGAGATCAAGGACAAGTGCCGCCACCTCATCAGCCGGATCGGCCGCAACCACCGGAGGCACCATTCCTCGGGGGAGTTCAACTACGACCCCCTCAGTTACGCCTTGAATTTCGACGACGCTCACCTCGACGAAGCTCCCCTTCGCAATCTCTCCTCTAGGTTTCCGGCGTCGCCGCCGCTGAAAACGGTGGCGGAGGATCTCGTGAATCCGGCGGTTCCGAGGCCGAGGGAAATCACGTGTGTGTAGAGGTTGATCATTGTATTAGAAAGAGGAATTCACGCGCCGCCGAGAGAGGGGTTATAGAATTAGGGTTTGGAGATTTGAGTAAATAGAGTAAAATTGTTGGAGAATGGGGGTGTTTGCGTCTTTGCAGTAGTACAGTACGTGAATATTCTCCGTTTCTCCCTCTTTTTGCTCTTGTTTTCCAAATTTTTTTTTTTTTTTGGTATTATTGGGATCGATGTGTGTATATATATGTTAAAGTTTGGCAATAAGTAAATGATTCAAATGAATTTTAAAATTTTTTAAAAATTTATATGAGCAATGATCTTTGTATTTGCTGCGAACTCAGATAAATAATTACTTGAATAAAAATTTGTTATGTATTGTTGGAAAATAAATAGTTTTTTTTTGTCAATTTTAATTTGAAATTAAAGTAAGACTTAATTGTCAGTTGATGAGAGTCTGAATAGTTTTGTATTGATTATAATACAAAAATAATGAGCAGTGATCATTGTGTTTTGAATGAGAATTGTCTCATAAAGTAAATATCAAATAAAGTTGGACTTGGGCCTAGGCTTGGACTTGGACTTGGACTTAGTTTTAGTCTTGGTATGGACTGGACTAGCCTAAGTTTGTGTATGTGCATGTTTTGGACTTAATCTTGAGTTTTGGGTTGAGCTGTGCTAGGCTTAGTTTGTACATGTGCTTGAGATTGTGCTTAGATTGTGCTTAGATTGGGATGTGGTCCAATGTCTGTATCTATTTTGTAACTCATTTAGTTTAATTCTCAAAAATTATATATTATATATACATTATGTTTTATATAATGATTTTGGAGTTTTGAACCTTCGTAACTCTAGCCCTGATAGCTGAAGTTGATGACGCCATTGATGTTGGCATTCATGGCTAAGGCTTTCCCCATTAGTATAAATGGAGGCCTTTCTCCTCCAACTTTGTAGGTATTTTTAGAAAAGTTTTGTGATAGAAAATGAGATAGTATTTTGAGATGAAAAATTGGAGATAGTTTCTTACACCAAAATTTTTCCCCCTATATTCTTTTGTTAGTCTCTTCTTTGATTTTTGTTAGAGAGAGTGCATCCATTGTCAAGTTCGTTGAAACTATTTAGAAGGTGTTTTTGCATTAGCAGGTTTCGACCGTCGTATCTTGAGAGGCAGACGCTGGCGTACTTCCAGCATCTATCGGGAGGCAGTGAATTTATTTTAAGAAAACTTTCTAGTACATACTTAGATTTTTTTCTTTTCTTATCATTTGTTTTTAAATTTGATGAGTTCTAATCTTTTAATAATTTGTTGTATTAGTAATGAAATCTAATTCATTTTTGTATTTTTAGTTATGTCGTTTATTTTGTTGTTCATCATTTTAATAAAAATTATTTTTTCATTTCTATTTACTTGATTTTATATATTTTTCATATATTATTATGAAAAGATACGAATAATCTTAAAACAGATTCATTATAAATAGTTTTTGAAAAAATAATTTAGTTTTTATTTTAATTTATTCTAATAACTCTTAGAATTAAAATTAATTTAATACCCTAGAATTATTGGATAGTTTTTTATTTCTAATAATTTATTCATGCAATTTATTTTGTATTAATTAGTTGTTATTGCATGAGTTATTCGATTGTTATTGTTTAAGTTGGTAGGAGTGTATAAAAATAAGAATTTATTATGTAAGATTCTTACTAATTTATTTGATTTGTTTGATTATTATTATTATTATTATTTTTTTGTAGCTAACTTTCTTTACAGGTTTATCTAAACAGGAAAGTAGGATATATAATACGAACAAATAAAATAAACTGGAATTAGTAAATTGGACTGCTAATTTGTTATTTGAACATGATTACTTTTGCGTGGAATAAAGAATAATATTGGACATTCAGAATTTTAATGAATTTAATTATTCACTTTATAATTCAGTTTGATTTCGGATTTATTCCGTATGTTGTTTTGAAAGATTAGTAACAATTTTGATTTAATTTGATGAATTAAATTTTGGAAAATCAAAGTATTGGAATTCATGTTTTAAGAATTTCAACAGATTCGTCTAGTCAAGAGGTTTCTGACGATATCAAATGTCTCTAAGCAGGTTTGTTTTAGGAGAAAATTTGGTAAAAAAAATTTTGATTTTTTTTTTCTATATAATAGTCTTATTTCTATGATTGCTTATGATTATGTTGCATTATCGCATGGTGGTATAGCTTGCCGTTGTAAAAATATTAATTCTTAATTCATTCTATTTATTTTTGATTGTATTAATTGTGAGTTATTTCATATTTTGATGAGTAATCAATGAAATTACTCCAAAATAGTAAATGGGAGTTTAACTCTATTATTATATATATTTGCTCATAGTTGCATGGTTGGATTGTCAACATTGGCTTCGTTTGGGAAGTTGCTATTTTAGTAGGCTATTTTAGTTTTTGGCTATTTTAGTAGGCTAAAATTTTTGTGTTTTAGAAGATGATTAGATTTTTTTGTGATTGGATGTGATGTTTGTGAGAGAAAAAGTGAAATGATTATGGGTTTGATGTGATATTTTGTCTTATTAGCTATTTTAGCCTATTTTGTCTTTTTATGAATTTTAGCCTAAACTAGGCTATTTTTTTTTCTTGCCAAACACCCCCATTATAACCATAATATTCCTTTATATATAATTGATTTATAGCCATGCACCTCATAACATTCTTGTAACGGCAATGCATCTATAGCTTTTAAATTACACATTGTGAGTTATAGTTGAAATTACTTGTGTAATATTAACTTTATTAGTTTATTAACTAATCTTATATCCAAGTGTGCATATGAATAGTGAGTATGGAGTTAGCGACAATGAGAAGAGAGTTTTGTAATGTGTTTTATACAAAGATAAGCATTACAAGTGGAGAAGTGTGTTCTTGGCTAAACAGATGATTCCGGATGCAACTATGAACTCCGTTTTGCAGATTTAGACAATTTGTAATTATAACAGTTATAGTTGCATTTCCATTTCCATTTGTAGTGGCTTTAATTTCTAATATGTAATAGTTTCACCACAGTAAAAGAAAAGAGAAAAGAAAAAAAATTATAAAGTTCTGGGTTTAGAGAAAGTCTTTGGGATTAATTTTATTATTGTCAAAGCATTTTAATTTTCTGTAATGGAAACCAAAATTTAGCCTTGACTGAAGAGTATTTCTTATTTGTTCATAAATGACAACTAAGATGGATTTGGTTTCAAACCTTTATGGTAAGATGAAATTTTTGGGTTTAATCTTTTTATTCCCAAAGTGATAGGAAACTAAGGTCTCGTTTGGGAAGCAACCGGTTTAGCCAAAAAGTCAAAAAGTTACTAAAAAAACTAAAAAGTCAACAAATCATACCAAAAAGTCAAAGATTCTCTTTTCTCTCTACTTTTTGCACATCTTTTCGTAAAAAGTCAAAAAGTCATCCTAAACATATTAGTTTTTTTTACATCATATTTTAGCTAAAAAGCCAAAAAGTTATTACAAAAGCATGTCTCCAAACTAAGTTTTGAAAAAGTCTTTGATTATAACTTGAATATTTCAAAAGTGTTTTGTTTCGGGAAACGAAACCAAATTTTAGTATTAGCTAAAATATTTTTAGTTTTTTATTTAGAAATAATGGACTCAATTCTGGGAGTATCGGTTAACTTTTATGAGTGGTGTAATTTTGAAAGAAAATTTTAATTACTTATAAGTTGTATAAACTTGCTTTGTTTTAACCTAATTTTTCCCTTGGAAAATTTAATTCTAAATTTGTTTCTCATGGACTAAAACTTGCATTTGAAAGTTTTGTCTAAGGTTAACTGGATCTTAAGTGAGACCGGTGTGACCCTCTAGTTTCCCTGGAAACTTTACTGACTATGTTTGATTCTAGGGTAAGTGGTGAGATCAGAAAATGTTGTTCCACCTGACAACCATAAGCCTTGCGAGATTCTTAAACGAAGATTTAGATATATCAAGTGTGATTAAAGGAAATTATAAGATTGCACGATGATATCTCTGAATTTATCAAAGGTAATTAGTATGTTATCTTTGTGTCAATTATAACATGTATGATTGCTATGGGACTTTGCTTGAAACTAAAGATGAGACAACCCGTTAGGGTGCGTGAATGAATTTTTTGAATTTTTATAATTCTAAATATATGCTTAAATTGGTGGCTTCTAATGAGTGCATTGATCACAAAGATAGGAAACTGGTGATTCCTAGAAAGTGTTAGACCACTGGCTACACAGTTATAAGATTGTGGTTCAAAGTAGTAAATAGATTACTGATCATATGTTAAGACATGATGGTTCCTAGTAGTAACACAGTCTACTGATTATTTGTCAAGACATAGTGATTCCTAGTAATGAAATTGTCTACTGATCCTATGTCAAGGCGTTGTGATTCCTAGTAGCGGAGTGACTACTGATCACATGTTAAAACATTGTGATTCCTAATAGTGGAGAGTCTACCGATCATATGATGAGGAATAAGTGATTCCTAGTGACACGACTACTGGGCATGTTATGAAGTTCCGAAAAGGAAACTATTGATCACTAGGTTTGTGATTCAAAATAGTAAGTGTATAGGGAGGAAATATTCGTTGCTCTCTATACTCCTCATGTTCAAGCTTTGAATAACGTCGCTCAACCTGAGAACAAAACGATGGTGAGCTACCCGGCGGGTGTGCAGCTGGAAAACCCCTCTGACGATCAAGTTAGCACACTTAGAGAAGAAGAAAGAGAGAGAGAGAGGAGACAAAATGCAGGTAGCTCTAATAACCAGAAAAATTCCAGACCTGTGCATGGAGGCGTTGCACCGTTTATATAGTTTCTGCGCGCATCTCTCTCTCCGTCCTCTCCTGGACGTGTGGATATGCTTCCCTCTTATCTTCTTCCACGTGTAAGCGTAAATACTACCAAATACTAAATAGTAAAACCACCTAATGGTATTGACGTCTACGGACGGCATAATCTCCTTCCTGCAATCCAATCACGCCACGTAGCACTC